CAAGTTTAAAAAGCTAAGACCTTCTCATCAAAAGCTCAATCCAATACTAGAACTAGTGTGATGATATCCAAACACAGACACAATCGGAGCAAACCATGTCCATTATTCAAGGTTTCCAACAAAGTCCAGGTTATGAACTCAGCAGGTCCGCCGGCTTTGATTGTCAAAGATAAATTCCAGCGGGTTCTGGATTGTTTTCAAGGACACATTACATGAATGAATTATTGGAACAAATGGTAATTAAGGTTCTGATTCCGTCTATAGAATTCATGTTCAAGAACTCATCGGTTGTTTATGATACATTATAACAGCAATGAGTGAGAGGAAAAGAAAAGGTTACCGTTAAATCAACTGATGAAAATAATAGAGTCGAGTTCCATTGTGAAGAGTTCACTGCGAATACTATGAGAAGATGAACCAAAAATTAGTAATTATTATAACATGGTTTCACTGTACATTGCACTGAGAGAAACGCTGTGCTTTTCTTTTTTTGTTTTTTTCCTTTTTTTTTGTTTTTTTCTTTTTTTGCCTTTATGTTTTTTTCCTTTCTTTTTTTTTAATGATTTTTTTTAATTTAGTTTATTAATTTTAAATTTTTTTATTTAATTATCAGATTTTCATGATACAGATCTCAAGTTTGACGAGTTAACCCAAAAAAAATTTTTGCTTTTTCTTTTTATTTTTTTTTGTTTAGTTTAATTTGTTAATATTAAATTTCTATCTGTTTAATTATTACACTTTTATGACACATATTACAAACTTGACGAGTTAACTCAGTTAATTCTAGGTTAAACCATTAATTTTTGTTTTTATTTAGTTATCAAACTTTCATGACGTGAATCCTAAGTTTGACAAATTAACCTGATTTGAAAGGTTAACCCACTTAATTCAAGATTTTTCTTTTTCTTTATTTGTTTTTTTCTTTCTATTTATTTTTTTTCTTTTTAATTAATTTATTTAATTATCTTACTTTTATAACATGACCTCATAACCAAACCCGCATCCAAGGCTCTTGGATCTATTGCTGTAGCGAGACTCACTTAAACTTAAGTCACGTAATTTTAATATTATTATTAATATTATAAATATTACTCTTGGGTCAAGCGTTACAGCTAGACCAAAGGCTATTAAGTATATCTTTGTAAAAAAACTTGACACTCTTAGATCTTATTCTTTTTTATATTTTTTATGCAAAAAAAATTAACTCGTGATGTATACCTTTGTTTTTTTTCTTTTTTTTCTTTTTTAAGCTTTTTACTATGAACTACACCGTGCAATCCATATTGAAAAAGCTGATGCCTTTAGTTTCTTTTTTTGTCTATAGTTTTTTAATATTAAATTTTTTCTGTTTATTTATCAAACTTTCATAACATAGACGTTTGGTTTGACGGGTTAACCTAGTTTATTCAGATTTTTTTCACTAGTTTTTTTCTTCCTGTAGGTTTTTTTCTCTTTGCTTTTTCCTTTTTAATTAATCTATTTTTAATTTAGTTTATCAATATTAATTTTTTTTTCTATTTAGTTATCACACTTTTATGACACGAATCTCAAGTTTGACGGGTTAATCTGATTTGATGGGTTAACCAGCTATTTAGATTTTTTTTTCTTTTTTCTCATTAGTTTTTTCTTTCGATTTCATTTTTTAATATTATAGGTAGTTCATAGTGAAAAACTTAATGTCTTTAATTTTTTTTTCTTTTTATGTCTTTCATTGTGGATCGCATAGTGCAATCCACATTGAAAAGGCTGATGTTTTTTTAATTAATTTTTTTATTTAATTTATTGATATTAAATTTTTTTCTATTTAATTATCAGACTTTCATGACACAGATCTCAGGTTTGACGGATTAACCCAGTTAATTTAGATTTTTTTTTCTTTTCTTTATTAGTTTTTTTCTTCTTATAAGTTTTTTCTTTTATTTTTTATTTTAATTAATATTTTTTATTTAATTTAGTTCATTAATATTAAATTTTTTATTTAATTATCAATTGATGCCTTTAGTTTTTCTTTTTTTTCTTTTTCTTTTTTTGTCATTTTTATGTTTTTTATTTTGGACTGCATAGTGCAATTCACAGTGAAAAAGATGAAATCTTTTGTTTGTTTTTTTTCCTTTTTTAATTAATTTTTTCATTTAATTTAGTTTGTTAATTTTTAATTTTTTTCTATTTAGTTATCAAACTTTCATGATATAGATTCCGGGTTTGACGGATTAACATAATTTAACAGATTAGTCCAATTAATTTTGGGTTAACCAGTTAATTTTTTTTCTTTTTAGTTATCAAACTTTCACGACATGAATCCAAGATTTGACAGATTAACCTATTTAATTTATTTTTTTCATTAGTTTTTTTTTATTATTTTTTATTTTTTTAATTAATCTATTTAATTATTATATTTTTATGATACGACCTTACAGCCAAACCTATATCCAAGATTATTGAATCTGATATGGTAGGCAAACTCATTTAAATTTAGATCATGAAAATTTAATGTTATTATTAATATTATAAATATTATTTTTGGATCAGGTATTATAACTAAAATCATGATTTTATAAAATAATTTAATTTTTTTTATTTTTTTGTTAAAAAAATTGATCCATCATGCACCTAGGAACACTAAAAAAAAACAGAAGAAGAAGTAGCATTAGGTTGCCTTTTGCACAAATAGTCAAAAACAAACTTCTTCCTTCTAAAAGCGTGTCAAACCTTGGGATCTCACCTGGTAGATGATTGGAAAGAAGCATCAAGTTCAACCGCTTGCCAGACTGACTTGGGAGAGCAGGGCGGTCACAGGCGAGCTTAGGGTAAAAAACCAATGCTTCACGCTAAACTAGTCAAAAGTGAAATCAGTGACACATGAAAGCCAATAGCATTGATGACAGAGACAAAAAAAAAAACATTATAAGTATCTTAGGTTTGAAGGAGAGAATTGAAAAGAAAGAGACCAGGAGAAATAGAATGAGAGGTGACTATATATGCAAGTGAGAAACAACAAAAAAAATATAAGAAGAAAATAAAAAAAACTATTTATACGGATTGAGCAGGTTTTCAAAATCTATGTAATCTGTGATATCTATTTATTGCATTTTTTTATGGATTGCATTTATGAACGACCACAATGTAAAAATGACCATAAAAGTAGTAACTTGCCATTAAGGAATTAGAGTGTGTTTGGCATTGTGGTAATTGTTGTGGTTGTGATTTGAAAAAAATTATTTTATAAAAAGTATTTTTAGTTGAAGTTGGTTTGAAAAAATAGGTGTTTGGTTAAAACTGTGGTTAAAATTGAAATTGAAGAAAAAGTAGTTTAATGTGTTTGGTTAAAAGTATTTTTTATTATTTTATTAAATTATTTGCAATTCTATCATGGATAAAATTCATTCGACAAGAAATACAATTTTAAATATCATAAAAACCTATTCATAATTACCATCTAATTTCAAACATATAATTCAAAATCGATTATTTTTTTATATGTATAATAAAACTAATTAATTATTAATATCTTTTTATTTTAAAAATTATTTATTTATTCTCTATGTATTTTTTGGAAATGAATTAAAAATTAAAAAATATTTTTTTTTATAGATAATACACAAAGTAAATTAATTTTTTAAATAAATTTTATACCAGAAATATATCTCTTTTCTAAGTTATCATAATTTTTTCTAAAATAGTAATAAGATTATGCATTATCATACTTATTTAATATAAAAATATCATAAAAAAACAATGACATCAACTAATTTGAAATCTCAGCATTCAAAAGCTTCTTTTTTTTTATTCTCATTCTCTATTTCACGTTTTTTAATTAGCAGTTACGATAAAAACAAGACAGACTTGCTTCTAACATTCCTGTATTTGCAATACATATCTATGTGGGATCTATGCATCAAAAAGTATAGCTCATTGTTAACCAAACATATTATAATTGTAAATGCAGCTAAACGTGGACGCAACCACGTAAACAAACAGAGTCGTATAAAAGGCTTGTGCTTTGACGGTCAACAGATAGCAGGAAGCTGTTCAGTGGACTGCGTAAAACCCTGGAAGACATGGACTGACGCACCTGCTATCCAGAATCTGTAAAGCTGAAGTAGTACGTGTCTTGTTTTTGTGGAAAGGAGCAGCTGACATTCATGACGATGACCTAAGCAAGCGGGGCTGCAGCGATCAATATTCAAAGCCAACCGGAGCAGGGCAACATGGTGCCTGCCACAACTTTTTCATTAATCTCCATTTTCCCACTTCACATGCATTATATTTATATACGGGGAAAATGTCTCCGTTTAACATTTATGAACAGGTCGATCTTTGACGAGCATGGTTTGAAATCGCTTGTAGGTACGTATGCGATCCAACAGTATAAATTTTAACCATTATTTTACTATAAATTGGGTATATAACACGTACAAATAAGCTTTTTTTCTCACTGAGAAAAAAAAGAGCATTCTAGTTATCTGTGAATATAAAATTAGAAAATGTTGCTAAGAAAATTAATTCTACATGTAAGAACTTCGATAAATAATAAAGATGAAATTAGAAAACACTGATAGTATTTATGATAATAGAATAATAAAAGTAATTATTAATGTATTTGTGATATAGGGATTGTAGTGCTGATAGCTTTTAGGGTAAGATATTTTGCTGTGATAGAAATAGTGATAGCTGGTGTGGTGATCTAATGATAGTATTTATGGAGGTAATGTTTAAATGACAATAATGAAGGTAGTAATAATAATTATACAATGGCGGTCGCTGTAATCGTGGTGATGTTGATAATAATCATGGCGGCGACAATTATGACAGGGATGATGAGTGTTAACGATGGGATGGTGGTTGTCGGAATGATATTAACCGTGTTGGAGAGTTATAGTAAAATAATAAATCAAATGGAAAATATTTTTCACTTCGTGAAGTTAAAGGGTACAAAAACATTTTTTTTTGGTTAACTTAGTTTTTTTAGCATTTCTTTTGCAATAAAAAAATTTTTTAAAATGTTTTTACAGAAATATTTTTAACAGCGGTGGTTGAAGTGGGCAAGCAAACTATACTCTGGGCAAACGAAATCTTGCAGGGATCAGCATCAGTACTGTATTGATCCTAGAAACGACAAATTTGCACTTTCAATCAGAATAAACTGAGAGTAAAACAATGATAAAAAGAAATTGCAATACAACAATGAGCAGAAAATGAGGCCAAGACGCAACATGAGAACACACAGATCATATAAGATTTTTAAAAAATAAAAATAGAAGTCATGGCAATACCAGGAAATCAAAAATCTGGCCGGCTCATCCTTGGCAAAATATGAATTGCCAAGGCTTCAAATCCCGGTGGCGTTTTCACCACCCATAGTTTCACCGGAAGCGCCGCCACATCCAGCACCACAATCTCAGAACTACAGCTGCAAATAACACAAACTCTACCGCCACCAGCTGCAATCTTCTGTGCTCCAACAAGCCTTTCTGACTCCATCGTATGCTCCCAATAATCCCTTTCTGGATCATACTTTCTAAGCACACCCCTGGCTTCATCCACCACAAACATAGTCTCTTCATCCATGGATGCTACGGGTCCTCTCCACCCTGCAAGCATACCCTCTGGCATGTTCTCCCATGCGTCTTTCTCAGTGTCATAAACAAGTCCTTCTTTAGGTGCATCTCCTTTCATGTTCACCATACAAAGTTTCCCTCTCCACCCCACTGCATCGATAGCATCCCTACAAAATCTCCCATCTTTTAGTTCTTTAACCTTTTCCCATTTCCATTTAATTGTTTTATTGGCGATGCTGGAGATCCCGACGTTCTTGCTTTGCAAATCCCACTTCTCTACTGACTTGGACACGTCCGTGTTGAACTGGGATCCGATCCCACTCGCCACATAGACCGTGTGCTTTGCTGAGCCTGCAGCACACCAGCGGCGAGGTGCGGTGAGTGGGGGGCCAAAGCCCCATACGCCTGAGAGTGGATTAAAAACAAGAGGGCGAGAGAGAGCTGGGGAAAAATTGTGAGAAGTAGCAGCAATAAGTATCAAGCGACCACAAGCAGAGATGGATTGGATAGGAAGGTCACGGGCGATGAAGCAAGGGTGGCGGAGAAGGAGATGGAGTGGTGGGTCTGGTGGTGGAGGAGGGAGAGAATCCCATTTAGAAGAAATGGGGTCAAAGTTGAAGGATTGGATTGGGTTGTTATTGGAAAGGCGGTGATTTATATTTGTTGATGATAAAACCGCATAGAGAGATAGAAAAGGAGGGAAAGAAAGGGAGTAGATTAGGCGACGCCATGAGTGACAAACAGAGTAAAGTGTAGAAGGGTGGACAAGGGAGAGGCAAAGTTGAGCTACGTGGTTAGGAAGACCTGGTATGAGAAGCTGTTCTTGGTGGTTCTGGTGGTGGTCTGTGGTTAGCTTTCTACGTTTTGAGGGGTGTTTGGTGGCAGTGTCAGTGTCAGCGGTGGAAGTTTGGATGGAATTGGCCATGGATTGGAATGGAAGGGAAAGAATTGTGCTGTAGGAAGAGCTTTAATATCGGGCCGGCTTTTTAGTTTTTAGGGTTTTTTTTTTTTGGAAATTTTGTATTTTTGGCTTTACTTTCCTGTGAAGAAAAGATAATGAGCTCTCATTGAGGATTTAAAATTAAGTGTGTCGATGGAGATGAATCCCAAAAGCTCGTCAGAGCTGCTTAAAATAAAACTCAAATGCAGGGAGGAATTGAGAATTTAGTAGCTGGGCTGGCATGCAAGCGAGGGAGGGAGGGAGGGGGGTACGGCGGTCTCACCATCCACCAAGAAAGGTATCGGCAGCCATTCAATGCAAGCCGATGGGGAGACCACATGGGCTTAGTTGGACTTTAGCAATAAAAAGAACACGGTAAAGTACTGTGTGGCTGTAGAGAAATATAGACTTTTTCAATGTAAGTTAGAGAATCTCTCAAAATCCCGTCTTTCTTCCCTACTTGGGACGTATCTAGAAAAGCTTGGAGGTCAAGAGGTTACAGGACCGTTTGGGAACAGAGCTGTACCATCTTTCCAACCATATTTTTTGTGTTTTTATTTTAAAAAATTTTATTTTTTATTTTAAATTAATATTTTTTAAATATTTTTATATCATGTATTTAAAAATAAATTTCAAAAATAAAAAATATACTATTTTAATTTATTTTTAAAGAAAAACATTTTAAAAAATAATCATTATCACAACATTGACACAAATATAAATATGTAAATATTCATGTTTAAAATCAAATTTAAATTCTTAAATATGTAAATGATAGTAACCATAATTTATGATTAAAAAATTTTAAGAATTTGATGGAATAAACATATTAAATTTTTAGATATTTAAATAAGCAAATCCTTGATGAACTATGTTAATGAATTAAGTCAATTTCATAAAAACATTTCAAAATGTCACCAAGCTCATCAACGTCATCTTCAAAGCCATCAATATCTATCAAATCTATAATGAAAAGATAATTAATAAACAAATACTATTTATTTTAACTATATTTTATTTTAAAATATTCATAGTAAAGGATAGTTATCCATTGCTATCATTTAAAATGTCTTGAATAGTTATTATTGACAGGTCACAATGAAAGTTCTCCGTTACTTCACTTGTCAAGATCGAAAGATTTTTTTTTTTAGTACCCAATTCTTTTACTTGATTTTCTTAAATATTATTAATATTACATAACTAAATCAGATAAATAATTTTCTTAAATATTATTAATAAAAAAAAGTTACCCTAGTTCTTTTACATATTAATTATTTCCTCTCTTTACTTTTATTTTCTTAAAAATTACAATTTACATTTATAATTTATTAAAAATAACCGAAAAATTAAACAATAAAAAAATTGATTAAACTGACTAGAAAAAAATACATTAGGTTTAATTTTAATTTTATAAAACTAAAATTAAAAAAGCTAGATCAAATTAAACTAATTTAAATATAACTAAAAAAACCAAAATACTGTAAATAAATAAATGACCTCAATCAACCTCCATGTTAATTTATAGGCTGTGATGGCAAGTGATTTTTCTATTTTCCGGTTCAAGTTTTTTGAAAGAATTTTAGTAGTTATTGGACACTAGCGCTTCAAGAGAATTGCTTAATCAAGATATTATCCCATGATTTTTTTTTTATATGACCGGGTTAATTTATATGTATTTTAATTAATCTCATAAATTTTAAAATTAATAAATATATAAATCTTTAATAACCCTAAAAAACCACAAACTCATAATTATTAGAAATTAAATCTAATAACCAAACAATTAAACCATTCCTAAAAATTCTCATAATTATTTTTATTGTTCGAACGTGACGTGTTGTATATACCGGACATATATGTGTGTTCAATATGATGAGTTTTGTTTAAATAACCCTAATTATTAAAATCAGGCCATCACAGACAAATTTTATTGAATAAAATCCTTTCTCTATTTAACTGAAAATTGATTTAAATCAAGTTCAAGCTCTCATTTTTTTAAGTGAATTTATTGAATAGTAACTCTATGGACAAAAAATAATTTTAAAAAAATAAAAAAAATATTATTTTTATATATTTTTAAACCAAAAAATACATTATTAAATTTACAAGACACTCCAGACATAACAGGCATGCATGAAAACATTGCCTCATAACTGATCAAGATATTATTTTCCGCGCGTGAGGTGACGCCTGGACCAAGAAATCCAAGGTGCGGTGGGATCTTGAAAACAAATAAAGGCAGGCCTCTCTTATTCTGTAGAATTTCTTATAAAATTCACATGAAAATATATTTTACACTAATTATTTCTTAAAATGCTAATATTATCACAAGTATGCAATTGTTTGGAATAAAATTAGCTTTAATTTGTGGAAATTCTTAAAATCACCATGTACAACTTTTGATTTGCTCGTGAACCCCGCCCAAAGCATTAAATATTTTTTTTAACTCTTAAATTCTCAATGAAATTTTGCCTTCAATTTTTTAAAATATTTTTCTATTAAAAATGCAATAGAATAATATTCTTGGCAGGAAATGAAATAGAATAAAAATAGAGGTAGCTACCAAACGACTGTTCATGGCAGGAAATGAAGCATGGCAAGGAGTCAGTCGGTGGGGACGGCGCTATCCAGCGAACATTATCACAGGCCACTTAAACAATAACACGCGTAAAGTATTGTGAAAAAATTTCTGAAAAAGGTTGTTTTGTCGTCTTCCTGGGTGACCTGGAAGAGGGCCTTTTTTGTCACGTGCAATCCCAAAGAACACGCGTTCGCCTCCTACTTCGGTGCTCAATTCTCAAAGCTGCCGCCGTGACATCAGCTTCCCATCAGCTTTCTGTTCATAACCCTCAATAAATTATAAGAGATTTTTTTTTTCTCGACCAAAAGAGGAGAGATTTGTCTTCTTAAACGACAAGATCTTTCTTTATTTATCTTTTGGAAAGGCATGACTTACACTGTCTGTATATGTTATAGAATTTAAAAAGTCTAGATAGAACTATTTTTGTGATGTCACGCTTTTTAATTATGATATTGTATAATATAGTATTATATATTAATGACCAAACGGTGAAATTATACCACCTTATGTCTTTAATAAAATTAAAAGTTTTCACTTCTTATAGCCATAAATTTATGCATATTTTAAGATTAACTATATTTCATTCAAGAATCGTTTTAAGGAATTCATATAAAATTATTTTTAACATCACCTAGCACATAAAGCTTTCAGTAATTTTTGTGAAATATTATAATAATTAACATTTTTATATTAATATTTTTTTAAATAATAGTGTTATGAATTTTTTTAAATTGAATTACTTTCTTAATTATTGAGGTAATTTTTAAATTCATTAACTTATTCAGGTCATATAAATTAATTTTTATATGATTTGAAAATTTTATTTTTATTAAAAAAAATGTTAATAAACATAAATAATTTTTTTTAGAATGAAAAAAATAATTTGATGCATAATCTAATGTGTGTATATGAAGTAATAAATTTATTTATATAAAAATTTTGTATGATTTGGTGATCATGGTGATCTCTACTTTTTGAGAATAAAAAAAAAAAAGTGGAATAGATTTTGATTTTATATGTTTTGTGAAAGAATTATTTTAACTAAAAAAAATTAAAATATTAAGTTAAGTCTCCTAAATTTAAATTATTAGTTTTATATATTATTATCAAATTGTAGAAAATCATAAATTTACGATTCTTTAAGCATGTCATGAATTAATACCAAACACAAAGATACTAATTTTATTAAATTTAAACTAGCATCATTTCTATTTTTTTTAATTTTAAAAGAGTGATTATATGTGATATTTGTGAAATTAAGAAATTAAACTAAAATAAAAACAGCAAGACACGATGCAAAAGAAACCATGTAATCTCATATTGATATTAATTTAAAAGATGTACAATCCTCAAATCTTTAGCAGTTAACAAAATGGAAAGAGATGGTGTGTTTGCTATGCACCATGTCATAATATTTTTTTTAAAAAAAATCTATGTTTTTTAATATTTAATTTATTAAAAATCAGATTTTATAATTTGTTGTGATTTATTTTCTATATGTTTATTTTAATTTTATGACTCATGTCATAAATATACTTTACACTAATTATTTTCTATAAAATTATCTCAATCTCATGATATATATTATGAATTTATGAGTTAACCCAGGTAAACTTAAGTTGTTTTATTATGTTATTTTTTTTATTTTTCTAATTTAATTATTAAACAATATGTTTATTGAAAATTAAGCTTTATAATTTTTTTATTTGCTTTTTATGAGGTTATCTTGGTCTTATAACCCTGATTTTAGATTTGGTAGGTTAACTTGGATTGACACATATTATTTTTTCCATTTACTTTTTATAAAATTATTATGATCTTATAACCTGAGTTATGAGTTTAATGGATTAACTCGGGTTGACGCGAGTAATTTATTTATGTTCTTTTTTTTCTTTAATATTAAATTAATAAAGAATTAGACTTCATAATTATCTAAATTTACTTTTCATAAGATTATCTTAGTTTCACAATCCAGATTATGGATTTAACATGTTAACTCAAGTTTACATAGGTCATTTAATTTATTTTTTTCAGTTTTATTATTTAATATTGGATTGATTTCATAATTTATTTTGATTTATTTTATATAGAGTTATCATGATCTCATAATTCAGATAGTGAATTTAGAATATTAATTTAGATTAATTAAATATATTGTCATCTCAATCTTTTTTTTAAACTATTGTCTTGATTTTTTTAACCAATTTATATTTTTATTGGTCATTTATATTGTATTTAGATTTGCCGAGGTGATTATTGCTATATCTAATCAACTCTCATTCAATTTATTTTTTTCAACTCCAGGTATTCTTGTTTACATTAAAAATAAAATAATCCAACCTGCCATATATCAAACCTACCGTCTAGTTTTCATCTAAATAAAATTCAAGTGCAGGCAACACCCTTGACAAGTCACAAATACATCACAAATCACCACTTCCATTTTCATCTATAAATATTATAGAAGATAGATAATGGATAGCGGGTATGTGATGGATTGATTATATATTATGGACATAAATTAAGTGCTCACTGACGTGGCTTTTAAGTTTCTGGTAATATTTTAAAAGCTAATATCATAGTCATTTTCATCTTTTATTTTTTAAAATTACAATTTATAACTTTTCAGAAGTCATGGTTACCGCTGAGAGCCATAGCTTTCCTAAACCAACTATAAGAGATCTCTTTACACTGGAAATAGATAAATAAATTGAAGACTTGGGTAAATAGATATACAATTAATCTTCAATGCAATTAATTAGCAAATTGCAATATTTTAGTCAATGATCAATGCCTAACACAACAGACACGTCATTGAAAAGAAGAAGAAGAAGAAGAAGAAGAAGAAGCTCTGC